TAGATTCATTCAGTTTTGCACCAAAACTGAAATGCTGGGTGGCTCATAAGGGCTCAGTTGATTATATTAAATATTTTAAAAACATTTATGGGGATGATTTTAAATATGTAGAGAATTAAGTATCCAACTCTGTAAAGGGCTAGACAGAATCAGCTACAAATACGACAGGTTCAGAACATTTATGAATTCTGCAAAAAGCTCAAGTAGAAAAAGAACATACAGTAAAATTCAAATACATGTAAAAAAAAATGTACAATCCAAGACATCCTTACTTCTGGATGTTCATTTATCATATTGCAGAAAATACCCTGCAGAATCTGAAGTTTCCAAAGCTTTGCAGGAAATTACTTCAGGAATTACTCTGTTATTTGTCTTCGGCCATTACAAATGTAAAACATTGTGGGAAAAAAAAAAAAAAAGATATTTTTATCATTGTTCTAGCAAGTATCAGATTATCTCACTCAGTGGCTTTGGCCCTGTGAGTTTTTCAGCTCTGTTTCTCAATGCAGAGGTGTGGGGTGAGAGCAATTCTGTTACTACTCACCTGATTTTTTTCCTCTAAATGATAAGAAATTCTTAACTACTATATAAATGTCTGTGGTTGTTTTTTAGGTTCAAAGAAGCATGGAAAGCTGGGTAGGAAGAACTGTAACTTAAAGGTGACTATTTGAACATTGCTCTATTCCTAGCAAGGCTAATCAAACAGAAAAAACCAAATCTGATCCTAAACCTTTTAGGCCCTCATGTCTGGTAGTTCACATCTTCCATTATTTAAGGGATTTAATGCAAAGTAACATTTTGGTGGGGCATCAGCTTTTGGTTAACATTTGAACAGCAGTTGTATGTCATTTCTGCAAGCAAATAGACATTCTCTCCCCCCCCCCCGAAAAAAAAAAAAAGAAAAAAAGGGCAGAAATTTATAAATAGAGTAAGTGCGAAAAGATATATGACATTCCCTGAAAAGCAAATGTGAGCTATCTGTTGGATCACTGATTTATGCTGCTGCATTATCTAACTGTGCTCTCCTGTTCAGGGATGTGGTTAGTGGTAGTGCAGAGCACTCAGCCTCTTGCAGAAAGGATTTATATTTGAATCCAGTAATGCAAATAGCACGTAAGTATAAGCTTACAAATATTGCAAGATCCCTTCTGAATATAGATAGGCTTACTCATATGTTTTTAATTAAACGTGTCTAAATATTCTTCTGAATGGGTATGAAGTAAAGATCAATTATTTCAAGATTTTCATGTTTGTTTGTTTGTTTGTTTGTTTTTAATTCACCAGAGTAGGATTTCTGCAGAATTTAATTACTTTCTTCCAAGTAATTCTTTCTTGGGGAAATCACTATGTTGTGCCAGATGCCTAAGCACAATTTCAATTATTGTATTATTTTATGCATGGCACTTTTCAGAACAGATTTGGCAGCATAAAAAACCAATTCAGCAAAAATCCATGATTTCATAGTGGATTTTTCCTTAAGTACAGCATTTGGCATCCTGTTACTATATAGCAAATGTAAAACTAAGATGGACAAGCTGAAATACATCCTAGGTTTGGACTAAACAGAATCTAGTTCCTGTCTGCTCTAACTGAATGCTGAGTGAGTTTCTGTTCATGTATCGACAGAACAACTGTACGTTTAGGTCTATTATGAATACGGTATGTGTTTGCACACAGCAAACTGAACAGTAAGTGTAGTGCAATTATCTTTAAATGTAGTGATTATGTGCCTGCCATTTCAGAATTTCTGAAGCACTTGGCATCTCTGTTTTGTAGGTTCGTAAAAAAATACGAGCTTGGGGGTTTGTATTGGTTTTTTTTTTTTTTTGCTTGTTTGTTTCATCAGGAATTTTTTTGTTCGTTTGTTTTGTTAGTTTTTTGTTTTGTTTTGTCCAACCCAGAATACATTGGAAGTGATATTTAAAAACTGTACCCATTTTTGATTTCTTTTTTCAGTGTGGAATTAAATGTCATACATTCATAAAATTAGGTCCTTTAAGAACCTACAGTTAAAGACCCCAAATATGATCTTTGTCTTCCCGTGAAAGAAAGCTAAGTTGGGAATAATGTAGTAATTACAGCACATTATATACTACAAAATTAAAAACAATGATGTTTGTATCTTTTGGTAACATCATATCTCCTTTTTGTTACTGTTTATTGTTTTTATGGTGCCATTACATTATGTGATTCTGTCTTATAGCTGACAAAATGATGTGATTTCAGACAAATACATAGGTGAAAGCCCAAAAGTAAGTCTTCATTGCTTTTGAGAGTCAGAAGTTGCTATGATTTTTTTCTTTTTTTTTAATTACAATCAGAGCACTCTTCTGTACCACCCAAATCTTTTTTGTGGATAAGATTCCAGAAAATAAAATATTCCGGGACTGCATAAAAGCTTTTCTTTTATATTTTCTCTAGATTTTGGAACTTTTGGTTAGCCAATTTTTAGATTAAGCCAACCTAAAAAAGTTCATAAATCCACCCTACATATGTAGAGTATGATGAAGGGGTCCTCTGTTGTAGTAAAAATAATAATGTCAACATAATTAAAAAGATAAATAGCTTGCTTGCATTTTTTAAACTTCATAAAATTGCATCTTTTTTTACTGCAAAGGACCAATTAAAATCATGCATGTAGCTGTATTCTTGTGGTATCAACTGTAAAGATTGCATTGTGTTTAAATGAAGACAACAGGCACACATTTAAAAAGAAGATGAAGAAATGTAAATATATTTGATTAATAAAACGTTTCTATTACTATACCTTAAGCCTTTTCTTATGTTAAGATATCATATGGAATTTTGTGAATGTTATGCAGAAAACAAAATATGCTTAAATACATGTGTATTGAAGGCACCCTCAAATAATAACAGAGCCTTGCTGTAGCTTTCATTATGAGCTGTTAAAAGGGTTTTTCAGCTGGGATGTTACAAAGTGATTTGCAGTGACAAGAGAGTGAGATCAAGTTCACTTTTCTTGATGACAGTATCTCAATCCTCCTAATGATGTAATGCTAGGGGCACATGCAGTCATATGCTCAACCAGGTTCTCAACCATGCTTTGGAATGTATTTGCATAGGTTTATGATGCAAATCGTGTCATACTGTAACCAGGTTTTTCTATTCTGCATACAACCATTTTTCTTATGGTTGATGGCCTGAGACTTGTTTAGTTACCTGAATCCTGATTTACAAGGATCACCATCTAGTGGACTGAGACAGAATTTCAAAACTGCAGTTGAAGTGATGTCTGAGCTAATTTTTAAAAAATCATTCTAAAAACAAAGCTAAAAGCACTAGCCATCCCCCACTGCAATGGACCTTCCAGTGCCATTTTTAACATGATTTCACTACCATTGTATATGTCAAAGAGCAGTGATTAGTTCACTAAGTCACCCCTTGTTCCACTTGAAAAAATACTACTTGTGTATAAGAAAAATACGTCAGTTGCTGTCATTTTTCATCTTATATTTCCTTTTACACAAGCACCAGAATCACCACGGTAGAATAATTGTGCAGAACTACTGTACTTGAGAAAATACTCAGGTAAATTGGCCAGGAGGCTGCCTGCTGGTTTGCAAGTAGCAAGGATAGTCAATCATTCAAGGCAAACTTCTATACATTCAAGTAAAATTCTTTATAACAAGAAATTGTATTGAGTCACGCTGTATGAGATTATATTGCCAAACCCACATAATCTGTCATGAGCTAATAAGACACAAATGTCTAAATGGGGTGAAGGAGTCCTTTAGCTGATGGCCCAATCTATAAGGTAAAAGGGTCCTTGGGTCCACCTTCTTGCAACTCTTCGGGTGCATGATTTAGAAAGGGTGAGGTTCAGGTCTGCTAATATTTTTCTTTTAATTTATTTACTGAAATTTTTAGCTGGGCTTAGAGTTTGCTGCCTTTTTACTTTTGTTACTGTATGTGTTCAGTGATATCTGGGGCAGAATCAGTCCAGTGTTGAAGTACAAGAGACCGAAACAGCTTCAATTTTACTGTTTGGTTGTTTGGGTTTTTTTAACCAAATGAAGTGAACACTTGCTCCCAAACAAATATACAGATAAGCAGTGTCCAAGTCAATGAACACACTACAGGTGCTTCCTGGGCACCGCTGAGCATCTGCCAGTTAAAACAAGTCCAGTGACTTCTTAACACTACAAATCCAACAGATGATACACAGATGTTGAAGCTGCACTCTAACCTCCATGTACTGAGCATTGATTCTCCAAGCCTCAGACTCACTTTTCCTACTTGCTACAGGACAGTCAGCAAAATGTTTTGACAGCAAACTTGGTCAATCTCATCTTTCATGTTTGCAGGGGATCTGATAGCCTTTTCGACTAATCCAGTAACACAAGGTGCCTGACATACCCAATTGTCTGGTGAAATAGAAACATACACCAACCAATGTATAACAATAATTAGGTGCCTAAGAATAAGATCCATACAATACTGTGCATTGGATGGAGCATTTATCTTTCTCCTCAGTACTTCCTTGTGGCCATCCCTGGTACATCCCTGACCAACTAGCCAAGAGGCAGACATGGGTAGATTTTTGATCTAAATCTGAATAATTTGCATAAAACCATCTAAGGATACCAGATACCTACACCCAGCCGCAGCTGGTTTCCCATCAATGTAATTAGGGACATCAATAAACTAATACTAGAAGCCCTAGAAATCCACACATGACTGGAATTAGTCCAAGGACATGGGTAGGGAAGAGGACCATTTTTTTCCCCCTTCTTCTCTACCAGCCACAGCAGGGGAGTCTTACCATTACTTTCTCATAGATTTTTTTCCAGTCTTTATTCATCTCCCCTTCCATCATGGCTCTCATCATTTCCATCTATTATACTTTTATTTTTCTCTTCCCCCTTGATATTGCTGCATTCAATCATTCCCCTCATATGTGGGGTTTCTCCAAATAATCTTGCAAATGACTAAGGAAAGAACTTGTATTTGTTTATATTGGCACAACAAGTCACAGAAAT